CTGATAGTAAGCAAGAAGGCAACCAGGCTGACACTAACGAGCAGCCTGACCTTGATGAAACAGGAATCTTAGATTGGGCTAACCGTTTGGAATGCAGAGTTCGAAGGAGTGTGAGAATAGCCAACAAGAGGAGGTCAGAGGCCAAAGAAATGCTTTCATGTATTGCAAAGGGTATTAAGCAGTGTGTTTGAAAACAAACCTTTGTCAGAGCAACTTTTTGCTCAACCAAGCAGCTTGTGCTCGTTTGTCTGGATTATCTTGTAGTTCTTGTGTTCATGGTCTTGGGACTTTTTCACGCTCTCTTGAGATTTCGTTTTGTTGGTGCCTCTTGGAATTCTGCTTTACAGTGCTGTGTTTTATTTATCTTTTGGAACATTACTTGCTTTTAAAAACTTTTTTCTTTTACTTTTCAATCTATATATATATATAAAATGTTCTGTGCATAATGAGTACCCTAAAAACAAAAGAACCAATGAACGAAATCACACCAAATTTTGCAACAAAACGTCTCACAACACAAGGAGTGACCATCACTCAAAAATATGATTTTGTCATTTGGGAGTTGTAGTTGCTGGGATTTATAGTTCTATAAGCAAAGAGCATTCTGAACCCCACCAACAATGGAATTGAACCAAACTTGGCACACAGTTCTCCCATGACCAACAGAAAACACTAGAAGGGTTCGGTGAGCATTGACCTTGCGTTTGGGAGTTGTAGTTCACCTACATCCAGAGATCACTGTGGACTCAAACAATGATGGATCTGGACCAAACTCTACACAAATACTCAATATGCCCAAATGTGAACACTGGTAGAGTTTGGGGAAAATAGAATCTCAACATTTGGGAGTTGTAGTTTCCGGGATTTATAGTTCACCTACAATCACAGAGCATTCTGAACCCCACCAACGATAGAGTTGGGCCAAACCCCCCACACAGAACCCCCATGACCATCAGAGTGGGCTGCAGCAACGCGTGGCAGGGGACAGCTAGTAATCTACAAAGACTTCAGTCCATGTGCAGTTTGGTGATTTCATCAAGGTGAATCTACTCTGAGGTGCGACGCTCCAGGTGTTTTGGACTCCAACTCTCACAATTCCTAGCAGGAATTGTGGGGGTTGTAGTCCAAAACACCTAGAGGGCCGAAGTTGGCCCATGCCTGGGATAGATGCATCCGTATCATCTTGGAAAGATGCTGTTTGGCTAGCCGTAAGCATCTCCTGTGTTTCCCCCACCTATCGCTTTGGCCATAGACTCCCTAGTGATGACCCTATTCTTTCCCCTTCTCTCTTCCTACCTGAACAGGTGTGCCCCTGAAAGCTTGAAGACCCGCACCTTCTCGCACGCCAGCGACACCTGGATGTTTGGAGTCACGTTATGGGAGATGTTCACCTACGGACAGGAGCCCTGGGTTGGCTTGAACGGCAGCCAGGTACGAGGCAGAAGCCAGCTCTGTAATGCGGCATGTGGCAGTGTAGAAGTGGCCTTACTCTGCACTTTCCTGGAAAGTCCTGAGATATTTTGGTATTGAACCAAAGTGTGTGAGTGTCTTTTGGTGGCTACTTGCTCCCAATGTGTTTTGAGCCAGCCTTGCTATCAAGCTTCTAGTCCTCATTATTTGTTGTGGACCATTCTTGACTTCTCCTCCTGAACTTCGCTTTCTCTGCCTAGATTTTGCACAAGATCGACAAGGAAGGCGAGCGGCTGGCCAGACCGGAGGACTGTCCCCAGGACATTTACAACGTCATGTTGCAGTGCTGGGCGCATAAACCGGAAGACCGGCCAACTTTCGTAGCCTTGCGGGACTTTCTCCTGGAGGTATTTAGCTTTGGGAATTGGGAGCAAAACCACAGTGGTGGCATTTGAAAGTCATTGTCCTTGTGTCCAAAGGCAAAGCCATTTGAAAGCAGATATCCTTGTGTCCAAACCAAGGTTATGTCTTTCGTTGGACTTCCTTGGATGTCACAAAGCCAGAGAATGACAAACCTGGAGTTATTTGCAGTTTCCAAACTATGTTTACATCGTAACAACAACAACAATAATGAATAGGTTCAATGCTTCTGTGGGGATTTGGGGTATAGGACCTCCAAGACAGTGGAATCTCTAGCTCATCTATAGGGAAAGTGTCACCACAAACACCTTCAACAGCTTTTTGGCCAATGTCCAGTTGTAAGTGGTAGCCATATTAGCTCCATGGTAGTAAAAACAGAAGATACCAACTCAAGTCTCCTTGTGGACAGACAGGTAAAGAGTAAAAGTTTTCGCCTGACATTAAGTCCAGTCGTGTCCGACTCTGGGCGTTGGTGCTGATCTCCATTTCTAAGCCGAAGAGCCGGCGTTGTCCATAGACACCTCCAAGGTCATGTGGCTGGCATGACTGTATGGAGCACCGTTACCTTCCCGTCGCCTGGGATTGCAACATTGATGATCCATACTTTGTTTTTTCCACTATCGTGAGGTCAGGAGTCTTGTGCTCCAAAACTCTGTCAGTCTGAATTCAGAAGTTGGAATCAGGCCCTCGT